GCACTTATTCTACTGAGCTATCACCCTGGCCCAAAATTATTCTTTATATATGCTCTGAGTGTATCATTACTGTTCTCATTATTAAAGAACCATTCTTGTTATGAAAGTTACTTACTGGAGGATAACACTAAAGTGTAAAAATACAGTGTTTCTGGGGCTAGCAAGATAGCTCAGCAGACTAAGCACCTGCTTTAGCAAGTGCAGGGACCAGGGTTTGATTGCTGGCCCCACCCCCAGGGTGCACTGAGCCAGAGACTGAGTCCAAGGGTGGTGGTACACGCCTGTAATCCCAGCTCTGGGAAGGCTGAAAACAGGAGGATCACTACAAGTCCCAGCTGCATAGTGAGACCCTGTACCAAAATACATAAAATGAACATAACAAAACAAAACACTGTTTCTGAATATAAGGCTCTACAGAACCTTGTCATTGGGGATTAAGGTTAATTAATGTTTCCTGAAAAGGAACCAGTCTATTTAAATCAAAAGAAAAAGGATAATGGCTTTCATTGTTTTTATATAGTAATTGCATACATAGAATAGCATACATTGTCACTGATTGCACCAGTCACAACGTAATTCTCCATGGCATCTTTAAATTTTAACATAACAAACCTAACTTCTAACAGTTATGCAAGTAATGGTGATCATTTTGCATATTTATTTCTCTCATGTCAGCTAAGTATTTTCCACTTTATGAAACTCTTACGCGTTATCTAGCTTTGTTCTTATAAAATCCTTTAGGGATCACTCATTTAACCAACAAGAACTTTTTGTCTTTACATTTGTGGATAGAGAAGATGAGATTTTATGACTTCTCAAAGACCATATAGTTTGTTAATTGTGGATAAAATCCCAAACTTGCATAACTTGTTTACATCTACTATAGACCCTCCAGCCATTTTCATCAGGCTGTAGTTTTCATATAAGTACCATTTTTTTTTTTTTTTTTGGTGTGGTCATTAAAAAAATAAATGGAGAGGGCCAGGGAGATAGCTCAGTGGCATAAGCCCCTACCTGGCAAGCACAAGGTCTTGAATTTAATTCCCATTACCAGGGGGAAGAAAAGAAAAAAGTATATCGTTATGATGGTTCCTCTAATGTATATTATGGAACAGTAGTCATCTAGAAGATTATAAGTTAATACTTTGATAATTTCTAACATATCTGTATATTTAAATATTGGATGTGTTCCGCTGAATTTAATAATCAAGTTTTAGAAAAAGTTAATGCAGCAGAGCTGATTGAATGAACATCTGTAATACCAGCACTCAGGAGGCTGAGGCAAGAGGGTCATTGCAAATTTGAGGCCAGCCTGAGCTACATAGTGAATTCAAGGTCAGCCTGAACTATATAGCAAGACCTTATCTGAAAAGAAAAACAAACAAACAAAGAAAAATAAATAAAACTTATTGGTGTAGAAATGTAAGCACAGACACATAAATACAAATGTAACGTATATTTTGGCCTTACATCAACGCCAGAAAAAGAGCAAAGCTATTTTTAACAGACATAAAAGATTTTTAAATGCAAAACCTAGGGTGTTTCATTTTCAAATTCTAGGTCAGACATTTGATTCGACAGGAGATCTGTGGTAAAGATTTCAAACTATTTGATAAAAAAGTGAAAGAATTGAATGAACGCCTTGGGAACACACAGTGCAGGAGAAAGCATGAAGCAGTAGCTGGCGAGCTCTTTGTAAGTGTCTGATTTCACTTGAATCGTTTTAAAAAGTAGAATTTGATGTTATAAATTTTGAAAGGCAAATGATAAAGCAAGACCCAAATTTTATTCCTTACCAAAGGTGTAATTTAAGACCATTTAGTAGGTAATGTAAAAATTAGCTCTTGAGAAATATTCTTAGAAATATCACACATTGAACAACAAAAGAAAAGTCACATATTGTGTGTCAAATGAAATGTTTAACATAGAAAACCCTTTCATGCTATGTAATTTTTACAGCTCATCTAACATGTTTGAAGCTATTTTAAAATATTTTGTTTTACTCTTGTAGGGTTACTTGCTGATACAATTTTATTGTTGACCAATTAAAATTTAATGATTTTATCTTTTGTTATTGAATATCATACAAGCATAAAGTCTGCATTAAATCATTTGCTTATACAGCCATCTCGTTCTTATCCTTGGATTCTGCATCTCTGTGTTCAACTAAATGTGCCTTGAAAATCCTCAGAAAAAAGAATGTTGAGGGCCAGGGAGATGGCTCAGTAGACTAAGCGCTTGCCTGTCAAGCCCAAGAGCCTGAATTCAATCCCCGGTTCCGTCAAAAAAAAAAAAGAATGTTGAGCACCAGGCATGATGATGCATACCTATACTCCCAGCATTAGGGAGACCGAAGCAGGAGAATCGCTTCAAGTCTGGACTACCTAGCAAAACCTTGTATCCTCCCCCCAAAAAAAAGTAGCACAGATACAGTTTTTTTTTCCTTGTCATTATTCTCTATTCATGGTGTGACAACTTTGTACATAGCATTTATACTGGATAAGGTATAAGTAACCTAAAGATGACTTAAAGTGTATAGGAGGATATGTACCAAATATATGCAACGGTATGTCATTATATATAAGGGCTTCAGCAACATGCACAGATTTTGGCATCTGAAAGATTTGGGGGGCTGGGGAGATGGCTTGCCTAGCAAGTGCAAGGGCCTAAGTTCAATCCCTGGTTATGCCAAGCAAACAAACAAACAAAAAGATTTGGAACAATCCCCCATGGATACCAAGGGATAGGTATGTAAGAATTTTTTGTTTGTTTATTTTGGGGACCAGGAATGGAACTCTGGACCTTGTACTTGTCAGTCATGTCCTGCACCACTGAGGTGTATTCCTGGCCTTGAATTTTTATTTTATGATGGATGTTGTGGTGTACACTTATAATCCCAGCACTCTGAGAGACAGTGGCAGGAGGACTGCAAATTCAAGCCCAGTTTGGCTAACTTGGTTGGTGAATTCACAAAATAGTCTGAAAAATAAGGGACTAGGAATGTAGCTCAGTGCAGAATGCAGCTCAACACCCCTGTGTTGAGTCACTGGCACCACACACAGACACAGAGCGCAAGTGAGCACGTAAAAGATAAATCATTTATTTGCATAGATGCCTAGTTCTAAGAAGACTACTCTGGAAAATAAATTTTTCTCTACCTCTCCATGTTATTTTGCACTCTGATTTGATGTTTACTTATTTTTCTTTCAGTCAAAAGTAGCAAAACTTCAAAGACATGTTAAAGCAATCTTAGCATTTCAGAGGAAATATTTGGACTCAAACACATTATCCAGTAATCCCCCCTTTAAGGTTAGTATAAATACATAGTTTTAATAATCTACTTGACTCATAGTGTAAACAGTTGGATTATAAAAAATGAATGTATTTCCAAACTGGGATAGACATCTTTAAAGGACAATACACTGCAAATGTTGCTCTGAGTCTGTCTCTAAAGAAGATATTCTTAGATAGTGTAAAGTTGCTGGTTTGTATCTGTTTAGTAAAGGGTAGTAGAAAGGGGATTGGTGATTATGTAGATTGTTCACCCAGGATTTTTAATGTGAAAAGTGAAGTTGAATTTTATGGGTAGATTTGTATACACAGCATCTAGATTTTGTCATACTTTTCATGTCTATCCTTGCTAGGTTATCCCTCCCTTCCTCCCCTCCCCGCCTCCCTCCCTTCCTTCCTTCCTTTCTTGCTTTCTTCCTCGGAGAGGTTCTCACCAGGTAGTCCATGCTGGCTTTGAACTCACTAGCCCCAACTGGACACAAACTCATAATCTTGCCTCCGCTTCTTGAGAGCTGGGATTATAGGCATGCACCACTGTGCCCTGTCTCTGCACTATCATTTAAAAGGGCTTGTGTTTATCTTCCAAGTATTTGAGACTTTCATGGTATTTTATTTTTATTGATATCTAATCTAATTCCCCTTTGAGGTGGCCAGCAAGATAGCTCAGTGGACTAAAGCGCCTGCTCGGGCAAGGTTAGGTAAGTGCAGGGACCTTGGTCTGATCCCCAGCACCACATGCTGGACCAGCACACACCTCCCCCCATGGTGGACTGAGCCATCCAGAGTCCAGGCCTAGTGGTGCAGAACTGTAATCCCAGGGCTGGGGAGGCTGAAAGCAGTTGACTCACCATGAGTCCAAGCTGCTTAGTGAGACCTTGCAACAATCAAATGCATAAAATAAATAAATAATTCTCCTTTGATCAGAGGACATTATATGTAAAATTTATGTTTTAAGAGTTATTGACATTTACTTTAATTAATTTATTTATTTAGTGTGTGTGTGTGTGTGTGGCCAGCTCAGCCCACCAGGGGGCAGGGCTGGCTGGCATGTGGTGCTGGGGGATTGAACCGTGGTCCCTGTGCTTTGCTTAGCTTAGCTTGTTCTAAGTAGGTGCTTTAGACCACTGAGCCATCTCACCAGCCCTGACACTTACTTTAACATGATTTTGGTGAATGATCTGTATACAGAATATTGAGCATAATATCCTACAAATGGTTACTTTGTGTTCATTGTCCAGCGGTAACTTTGTTTTGTTTTGCTCCAAATGCCTTTAGGTCAGGTTTGGCTGGCTTGAGTTGTGGGGATTGAACCACAGCAACCTGAGCCTGACTGCTTTGTTGAAGCAGCCACTTAAAGACTTAAAGAACTGAGCTAAGGGACAGGCCCCCAACTTTTTTTTTTTTTTTTTTTTTGGAACTAGGGATTGAACTCAGGCCCTTGCGCTTGCCAGGGAAGTGCTTATTCTACTGAGCCATCTCCCAGGCCCCCAACGTTAACATTGTTCAGAAACCACAGAAACAATCTGTGGTTTTGGTAGAATGAATAATTATCCCAAAAGATGTCCATGACCTAATTCCCAGAACCTGTAAATATGTTACCTTACATGGTAAAATGGGATTTGTAGATCTGATTTAAGTATTCTGAGTTGAAGTGCTTATCCTGTATTATTTAGGTGTGCTCAATATAATGAGAAAGCACCACACAAAAAGACATAAGAGCTGGGCATAATGGTACATGCCTGTAATCACGACACTCCTCCAGGGGTTGAGACAGGAGGATCACCAGAAGGTCAGAGCCAACCTGTCTGAGTAAGACCCTGAAAAAAACAAATTATATTAGGTCAAAGGCAGAAGAGCTGAGGAAATGGAAGCAGAGGTTCAAATGATGAGAATTGAAGGCATAGGAAGACGCTGCAGGCCCAGGCATTTATGCAGCTGAGCTATCTCCCTGGCGAGCATCTTTGGAAATAGACTTCCAGTAGAAATGTTCTTTTGGCTTAGGGAAGCTGATTTCAAACTTCTGATCTCTGAGATTATGATAGAATGGATTTCCAGTGTGTCCATGTATGTTTGTTTCCTTGTATCTGAGACTGAACCCAGGGCCTTCATACTGAGCTACGTTTGCAGGCTATTTTATTTTTTAAATTTTGAGTCATGCTAAGTTACCCAGGTTGGACTCAATCTTACAGTCCTTCTGCTTGAGCTTCCCAGGGTACTGTGATTACAGACACATGCTACCGTGCCTAGCATTTTTTGTATTAAGCCATTCATTTAATATTAATTTGTCAAGGTAGCATAATATAGGAAAGTAATGCAGATTGTAGTACTAGGAAATAAGGAATACTGCTGTAACAAATACCTAAAAGTTTAAGTAGCTAATCCCTTGGAATAATGTCCCTTGGAATGATACAAGGTCACAATATTCAGCCACACCAAAGGATCTTTCTTTGGAAAGGTTCAGCATCTGAATCTCTTTAAAGAGTTTTCCTGGCCAGCCAAATAGCTCAGCAGATTAAAGCTGCAGGCTCAGGGGCCAAGGGTTATATCCCCAGGCCTGCTGTGCTGCCCCCGCCCCTGCCCCCACCCCACCCCAGCATGCTGAGATGGGTGGGCATGGTGGCTCCTGGTTGGGCATGATGGTGCCCGCCTGTATCCCAGATCTTGGGAAGCTGTAAACAAGAGAATCACAACGAGTCTGATCCAGTAGTAAGGCCCTGAACACCCTATAGACCCTTCCCTAAAATACAGGAAAAAAAAGTTTCTTATTTAGATTTATTGTATGGATCTTGCTTTCCTTTCCTTGCTTTCCTAAGTGAATAACAATTTACTTTAGGGGGCCGGGGAGATGGCACAGTGGAATAAGCACTGCCCTGGCAAGCACAAGAGCCTGAGTTCAATCTCTGGTTCTACCAAAACAACAACAACAGAAAATTTACTTTTGGGACAGGAATGTAGCTCAGCAGCATAGTGCCTGACTGGCAAGTAGGAGGCCCTGGGTTCCATGCCCAATACCAAATAAATAACCCACCCCCAAAGCCAAAAAACCAGTTTACTTTTCAGAGCTCTCATCTACTCTCCTGCTTGGCTTCATTCATGGAGCTTCACTAGGTCTCTTGTTTAGTCTCTGCAAATGACACTCTGTCCCTGGTGATTTTGCATGGGAAATTCAGGAAACCTTGCCCTGTGGTCACTGCCAGGCAGGGGTTTGGGCTAGCTGTTGCTTCAGATGTAGAGGCAGCGTGCATCTGATGCTCAGGTCTGCTGCTGTCTCACATGTGAAATGATGCCCACACTGCCATCAAAGTGGATTAGGCCAGTGATAGTTCTGTGTGTGGAATTTCTGGTAACTGGTCCCTGGCTGGCCTTTGCTGCCGCAGTCAATTAGACTGACACTGTCCAGGTGCCAGGCTCTGCAGCTGACTCTGTAGAAACTGGGGGAAGGTCGCCACCATTGCTGTCAGTTTGGGCTGAGGGAAAGGTGCCTGATTTTCTGAGTTGTTTTATAACTATCCAATGCATTATTTCCATAGTTTTAAGTATTATAGTTGGAGGGGACAGCAGGAAAACTTTAGTCCATGCCATCTTGTGCCAGAACTGAAAGAATACCAAACATTTTGCTGTTGCTTTCTAATATTGTTTTAAACCTATTCTTCTTATAGAATCTGTTTACTTAATGACATTTTAAAATTTTACCTAATTTTGTTCATGCTGTACCTTAGAAAAGTCTGAGTTGTGCAGTAGATAATGTGCTTCCAGCTCTAAATCAGAGCATGGGCTTGTATTGCAGCGCCAAGTTTAAAAAAACCTTTACCAATTAGAAGAGTGAGTTGACAGTCTGATTTTTCTCTAGTCTTTATTAGAAATGTAGTAAAATTTAAAAGCTTCCTTGTTAAAGTCTAAAATTTTTTAGTTCTTAAAATTTAGGCTAGTAGAAATAAGATATTATCTACCTAGATATTTATTTTCCTTTTTATCTAAACTAAGAAATTGGTTTGTACCATAATTTTTATTTTCTTTAAGTTTTTAAAAATTTCATTTTGGTAGAGCAATCACAATTTTGGTCATTAGCCATTGAAATACATGTATTTGAAAATAATTTGCAAGTGAGTTTTTCCTCTTAAATGCTTTTTTTTTTTTCCTTTCACTATGTAATAGATTGGAAATTCAGAGACCGTGACTTTGGATAAGAATGGAGAGTCAGTTAATAGCCAAGATGAACGAATGACTCCTGTGAACTGTGAACCTACCAGTCCTTCAGAAAAAGCAAGTGAAAAACTTAGTTTGTTGTTGGATGGTGTTGAGTTTGTTTCTGAAAGGTAGGCATTTCTATAAAAATAGTAAAGTAGTTACCTAAATACATTTTTACAAACATACGAGTTTTTCAAGCATACAATAGCTTAAAGCTTCATGATCACTTGAACACATTTTCTGTTATGAAGGAATAATTGTTTCTCTACAGCTTTTTATCATTTAATAATGTTAAAAGTTTGAATTGGTCAGGTAATCAAGCCTTAAGTAGAATGATTAATGGGTCACTCCAATTGTACAACTGGAAAACCGAGGTCGTGTGCAAGAGGGGGATTTTTTTTTTTTTTTTTTTTTTTTTTTTTGCGGAATAGGAGATTGAACTCAGGCAACTTGTGCTTGCCAGGCAAGCGCTTATTATACGGAGCTATCTCCCCGGCCCCAGGGGTTTCCCTTCTTTTCTTTCTTTCTTTCTTTTTTTTTTTTATTACACAAAAGAGCTGGTAGAACTAGGAAGAATTGCCTAAAGTTATTTTCCTTTATATTGAAAATTAGTAATTTTAAATTAGAATGAACAGATTTTACATGTCTAATTGAGTTAATACATAGTTGAGACATCTAATGTGTAGCCTAAAAGATAAAAGATTTGGGGCTACTACAAAAAAATGAGTTTAGTTCCACGGAGATATGTTTGATGATTGTAGCCTGGATTGGTGTTGGGGGAGGGGGTATATAATGAATTATTTTCACATCATTGATAATAAGCAACTTTTAAATTTAATTTTATTTTTATTTATTTATTTTTGCTCCACATGCCTTCAGGGCAGGTTTGGCTGCCTTGAGTTGTGGTGATCGAACCACAGCAACCTGGGCCTGGCTGCTTTGCTGAAGCAGCCACTTAAAGAGCTGAGCTAAGGGACAGGCCCCCTTGTTTTTAATTTTAGAGTATTAAATATTTCTAAACATTCAGTCCTGAAAAGGCTCTATTGTTTTGCTTTTACTTGTTAAATTGTATCTCAAATTTTAAAAAATACACATTATCAGTGTTAAATGAATTATATGATAAAAGTATATATAATCAAACTGAATGAAGTAAATTGTACCTATTGTTTTAAGAGCACTACCTTTCCCCATAATCGCTATTCTAACACAGGGATGCTATTTATAGTAGGTTTTTGATATTTCTGCAGTTTTGACTCTTCAGAAGGTATTCTAATAAGGCCATAAGTCAGAGGCCCACATTTTAGTTTTGAATTGGGAAGCTGCTGTGAAGGCGATGTTTCTTTGGTAATGAGTCACATTTCAGTGAGTGCTGTTTACCATTTGTTAACATGTGTGCTGAAACTCGAAGAGACGAAAACAGGAAAACAGTACTAAAACAAAAATGACAACTAAAGTCACCATTAAAATAGCACTTTGTAGACAAGGATGTCTAGTTTAGTAGTGTGTTACATTTATAGAACAAACTCATTTTTGTCTATACTAAAAGAAGAACCTGAAGGCAAGAAGAGCATGAAGCAGAGTACTTCAAGTCCTCTAGGAAAACAAATTCCAGCCCAGACTACTGTACCCTGCAAAACTCTCAAGTTTGATGGAGAAGCGAAATACTTTCATGACAAAGAACAGCTAAAGAATTTCGTGATGACAAAGCCAACCCTACACAGGCTACTGAAAGATGCTCTAGAGAGGGACCAAAATGATCAGAACTCCACGAATAAGATCAGAGGCAACCAATTAAATAGGGCAAGCAATTAAACACAGGAGAAAAAGGAGTAAACGATAACAGGTAAATAACATGTCAATTGTAAGTCAATACATCTCAATTCTAGCCATCATTGTAAATGGACTCAATTCACCAACTAAGAGAAATAGACTGGCACAGTGGATCAGGAAACAAAATCCAACAATATGCTGTATACAAGAAACACATTTAACTCATAAAGACATTCATAGGCTGAAAGTCAAGGGAAGGAACAA